AATTAGAATAGGTCTTCCTTTTTACCAACAAAGCAGCTCTGAACAATCCAAACATCTGTGGGTGTATGAGTGAAGCATCAGCAGTGCTGTTGGTTTGGACCAGGTTGGTTTTTCTCAGATGCCATTAGATCTAGTCAGAGACTAGCTGACTTCACATCTGACTGTTTGTGTTAACCGTGGTTTTTGAGGGCCCACTGTTTCCTGTTGAGGGGGAGGTGTTACAGTAGGAGAATGCAGTTGTTATGTGGGAGATGAAGGGTGAATGGTCTGCAGAAATATTTAGGGTGGGTGGCAAGTGTCAAAATAAAATTCATGTAACCACGATGCTGGAAATGAGCAGTGTTACAAGATGAGAAATAACTGTTTTGCATATCAGACCAACTGCTTCAAGGCAATACAGCAACTGGATTTTTTTCCTGTTTTACCTTCATAGACATGAACATATGAGAGAGTTCAGTGTGAAGAATATCCTGCCAACAAAGGATTTCAGGTTGTTAAAGAAATGTGTTTTCTGAGCCGTAGAATCAAACGTTGGTGCAAACGTTGAGTTGGATAAAGTTTAAGATTATTTTTTAATTCAAAAACGTGAAACAAAAACCAAAATTTAGGACCAGTTTACCTTTGAACAATTATAAATTTTCTGATGTTCAACAAGCAGATGTGTTCAAACACATCAGTCCCAAGCATGAGAACACTTACATCCAAATGGTGAATTAAAAAAAAAATGTTAGTTTGGACTGAAGATGAGGTCGGGTTCAATAAAACAACAGAAGTCAGGTTCAGATCACTGTCACTCCATGTGTTAGCATTGAAGTCCACCAGCAGAATAATGGAGTCCAGCTGGAGCACCTACACTATATTAAGGCCTCCAAAGAGGCTGGTTACTCTACTGGCAACAATAGACAGAGTTCATTCCTCCAGCTGAAGATGCAGGGTAACTACCCTCTCACCAACCCACAGGCACTAACCCAGGGGGGCTATAGTTTGGCCCACAGCTCCACACCAGCTTGGGTCCTAACTCCAGGTGTGTCAAGGTAAACCCAACTATTTCTAGTCGGCACCTCTCAACCTCACACACAAGGTCAGGCTAGAGAGATCGCATTTTAGGCTTATCTTTGTAATAAATTAATAAGCAAATAAAATTAAATAAACAAACGGGCTTCTGTTTTGTAGCTAAAGATATTTGATTCTCATCTCGGAAGTTCTGTCAATTTAAAGCTGCAGAGTCTGGAGCTGCAAGTTGTAAACGTCCATCTTTGAATTAATCTCACTCCCCTCTCATATCAATTCATCCATCCATCCATCCATCCATTTTCTTCCGCCTATCCGGGGTCGGG